AAGTGTCCAGCTCTCCTGCAGCCTCTAGGAGGAGTCTCAAGGCAAAATATCCAGGAAGTGTGAATGCATCTAAATGAGAGGGTTAGCAGCAGAAGAGGTGAGCTGCGGCCTCTCTGAAGCTCTTGTTATCCCTGGCAAGGAAGGAGCAGCCAAGGCAGGAGGGGCTGATGGGGAGAAAGGACAGATTGCACAGGAAAATGGTGGGGTCACTGTCCCGAAGGTGTTCGGATACCACGGAGATGTGGCACTGAGGGACATGGTCAGAGGTTGGACCAGGTGACCCTGGAGGTCTTTCCCAACACTTAACAATTCTGTGATTCCATCACAGGGCCGTGCAGCAGTGGGACAGCACAGATTGTGCTCCAGCCTTGAGGCACCTTGACTTCTCAACCAGATTCATCCTCTCTTTATAAGACAGTAAAGTAACTTTGAAAATCATATCATTTTGATGGAGTGTGTTTATGAACGTTTCCCCCTTTTCTTGCCTACAAGCAAACTAAGAGATACTGGAGCAGACAGCAGAAGAAAGATTGCACTGCCTGTGATGCCAAGAATCTTGCTGAAGCCTCAGTTAGACTGCTGCTTGCTCTGCGCTAAGCTGAAAGGAGGTGATGTATTTCAGACACCATAACTTAATATTAACATTGTACCTCCATAACACTCACTTGAAAAGGCTTACACCAGAAGTCTCATTAGCAAAACCATTAAAATGAGCGCACAGCTGGTGGAGAGCATTTACTGTGCAGAAGAGTCAAATTCTTCTAAATTTATAGTGGTAAAATTGATTACTGATTCTAACATCTGTTGCAGATTTTCATTTAATTTCTCCTTTAAAAAGTCACCCTGCTCACACACCAGACTGGGCTCTACAAACCAGTTCCCCTCCCTACTAACCGCAAATAATCCCCATGCAAATCAGTTGTACTCCTCTCATAAAGCAATCATTAATACCATTTATTATACAACAAGCCCTACAACATGCAACATTACAAAGATGCAACTCAATGCATTTATGCTATGCTTGTAATCATATAGAAGCCAGGGGCAGCTCTGAAGGAAGGAAAAGACAACCAAAGTAAACAGCACCAGATGCAAGCCTGAAACTTTTAAACATGCAACTTGGTGTCATCACCCAGAACTAGAAAACGAACGACTTGTCAGCAACATGCAGTACTGGAAGACAGCACTATTTTGTATTTTGTGCCTGTCTCTGGATGTGCCTTCTGTACCACCTCAGGGGAAGGAGTGTGCAGCCACAGGCACCAAAATCCACAGAAGGGCAATGCACTGCCAGGTGTGTGACCTGCAGGGAGAAGTAGAGCTACAAAACTGTCTTTTGATGGTCCTTTTTTAATAGGAAAAGAGCTCTGCTACACCTTACTCATGACCCTGTTTTTCCATGAAATCTTAATTCTCCTGAAGTAGAAAAAAGTGACGGCATTGTTTTATCCAAGATCTAAGGCAAGAACAGCGTATGATGTATAAAGACAAGTCTGTACCTGACCTCCAGAAAGTGCCAATAAGCCATTTCTTTTGTTCTTCTGTGACCCTCCTGGAAGGACAGGAAGGATAAGGTTCTGCTTCGTCATCACATCCTGCAGTGCCATAACATCTATTAACCTAAAGAGTTTGTTTTTCCCCTCCCCATTTGCTTCGTGCATGGCTCCGATTTGTTCAGAGAACATTGGCACCCGTCCTCTGAAAGTTAAAGCAGCTCAGCAGTGCCCACTTGGTGTCTGGCAGCACAGCAAGTACTTGAGGTACACTGTACCGAGTGGACAGGACAGGATTTATCATGATTAAGTCAAGACGACACAGACAGAGGAGGTGACACCACGTCAAGGTTGGGAGAGTGCTCATCCAGGTGCCAAGAGGAGCAGATCCCAGCACCAAGATCCATGTTTTCCTTCAGGAGTTACCTTACTTCTCAGCCAGGTGGAAACTAGTTGCAGAGTAATGCTGAGCCACAAACAGGGCATGTTCTGCTGGTATGCCCAACACCACCTTTTCTCCACTTGTTTTCAGTGTGCTCCTGTAGAAATCTGTACGTGCTTCTGCAACCTGGGGTCACTGCATCTCCACTCTGTATACCAGCAGCAGGGCATTTGTCTCAGTCACCAGCCCTGCTGCTTAGGATAACATCTGTGATTGATAGGCAACATGTACCACTGCTTCCACACCTTGCTCAACCTGCTCTAGTAACAGCAAGGGAAACAGAGCACCAAGTCAGAAAAACAAAGAAGCAGGCTCATGGTCCATTTATCAGAGCTCACAGTGTCAGCTCCTTACTCTCATCCTAAGGCAGTACATTTGGTTAATGGCATCTCTGGGGGAAAAAATAAAACATCAGCTTGATACGAAAACTCTGGAGTAAGGGAAATACAGTTCCTCCCTCTCGAGCTTCTGAGCCCTTGCTCTCAATTAACACCTATTCCTCATTTGGATACAGCATTGTGAAGAAACGCTTTTCAGCACCAAAATACACCTTACTGATCTGCAGGAGAACAATTCACCTGCAATTCCCTGGTGCCTCATCCAATGGCTCATCCATCACACCACGGCACCTCACGCTTCTTCTGATGAACTCAAAGCTGCCATAGGACAACTCTGAAACTCTCAAACAGTGTCTGGAAAGGGCATGTTCTAAATTGTGCAGACCATCCTTCTTTTTCCTCTCAATTTCATCTGGAGGGCAGAAGATGCACAATGAGAAACAGAGTCTTCTGGGAGCCTACCTGCTGCTTAACAGATTCCTCTCTTGGGAAACATTTCTCAGCACAGAAAAGCCAACACAAGACCATCTCAGTAAAAACTGCTCCAGAAAGGCAAAAAAAACTTGCTCCAAAGAACAAGGATTGTATTTCTTGTGGTTTGCTACAGAAAGAAAAAAAATTACTTCTTTTCCTCCTGAACGTGCCATGCAAACACCGCAGCAGCCACCACCACCACACTGCATGGTGCTGGGGAAGCACACTGGGAACGATTCACTGCCATCTCCGAATGCAGGTCCTGCAGCACCATGCACAGCCCCACACCAGCACAGCAAGTCATGGCACCTGTTGGGGCTGTGCCCATTTCTATTCTTTCAAATGCTCCCAGATCAAGCCTGTGATTCTTATTAGCACTGACTTATATCAGCTGCAATGCCAGCTTGTCCCAGTCCAGGGAGAATTACACTGAACAAACCTATTGTTTGGGTAGGTTGTTGTTTTTTTTTTTTTTCCCAGGCTATCTGAAAGTATTGGGCTTGTATTTCATTTCCAGATGCATTAGCATCACTTTCCCAACACACTCCACTCCACTCCGAAATATAAACTGTACTTCTTGGGAACAGCAGTCAAGGCATCAGCTCTCAGCACTCTCCAGCCATCACAGCCCTACAGAACGGTGCTCAACAGCACACATGTTAACACAGGGCACTTCAGAAGTTGCTTCTGCCTCAAAGCAGCCTGAGATGATTTCTGTGTGCTACAAGCAACACTGAAGGACAAACTTACAAACAGCAGCTTCTTGCTGCTGCCTCTGTTTGATGATGCAACGTGCAGCTAAGCTGGGGCTGGCAGCACAGCATAGCGTCCACTGGAGCAACTAATAATTGGCTCTTGTGTTATCAGTGCTTCAAGGACCCTTCCAAGAGCAGTTGCTTTTAGGAGAAAACGCACCTGGTAGTTGAGCTGCTTTTTACCTCCTCTTCACCTTCACCAGAGTATTTTTAGCTGTATGGACTGACTTGCCAATACGTTCACCTTCAGTTCTTCCCTAGGAAATTTCTGCCAACGCACAGCAAGGAATGAACCACCTCTACTAAGGGTCAAGAGAGGTGGGAGAGAAGTGATGTGCAAAGTCAGCTTCCCAAAAGTCTTCAGTGTTTTTGCTCTTGGTATTTCAGCCCCTCTGCTTTTTCCACAGCCTTCTCCACTGAGAGAGCTTAATTGGGTTTATACCTAGTTTCAGTCAGCTAAGAATTTGGCCTTGGTTCAACAAGATCAGCTGGTACCTACAAACATGTTGATAAACCTACATGCCTTTGCAGAAGTGTCACTCAGTTACACTGAGTCTTCAGAGTCTCCTAACATTATTTGGCAGAAAATGGCCCAACACAGTCAGCTCAGAAGGTAGAAAATTTAATTCAGCTAAAACAGTCTCTCTTGTCAGTTCATCTCAGCGGGGAGCACAAAAACTTCTGCCAAAACAGTGAAGTGCTTGTTCCATCAGAGCACAGTGTCAGTAACCAGGAGAGGGAAGGCACTTCATGAAGCACTTCTACTACCTCATATGATGCTGGGACCATGAGTGATTCATTACTTACAATTAAAACCTGTAACATGGTGGACTGAATTGTGAGCCAACAGCAGCAGATGGGAGCCCATGCCTTCAGGGCACCAGCTGGCTCTTGGACAGACCCAAAGTGCTGGCAGTGTGAAGGGATACCATCACAACTATGCTCAAACCCATTGGTTTGACTGAATCTTCCAGAAATAACAGAGGCATTGAGCTGTACATCACAAGAGGGCAACCAGAGCCTTCATCTCCAGCACATACATTTTCACCTCCTTTATATACCTCAGTTTCAAGGGAATCTACGAAAACTAGAACACGTGGACTTCTGACCTCCCAGCTGCCTCTGAATCTCCAGTCTTTCCTTAGCAGCCTGACTTCAGCATCACCTTCATTAGGAAAACTACTCTCTCATAACCTCCTCATCTCCTATCTTATAGTCCTACCTTACATTCGTGTCTTATGCTTATTTCACATCCATCCTTTTAAACTCACAGCAAAGTTTACTGTCCCATTTGACACACACTGCTCTGCCAGTGATGAAATTTCCTCTCTCACAGGAAACTGATTGAGCTTTCTGAACTCTTACATGTTTTGTACATAAGATAGGTAACATGCTCCCAGCACATCCAGGGCCCACTCAGCAGTCTACCTTTAGCCATTCCACTTTTGGCAGGGAAGGTAACATGCAAAAGTATGGGAAAAAGAAAATAACCAGGTACCTTTTCAGACAAGGCCTTTAAGCTGTCCAGGAACCTCTGCCAGAAGTCTTTGAAGAGGGGTCTATCAATTCTCTTCAGGCTCTCCTTGGTGCTGGCATCTACACTGACATACAGCTGTGTGACAGGCTCCAAGTTCCTTGGTAAGGGAAAAGAGAAGTAGATGATTATTTTCTGACATTACTGATAGCTGATTTTTCGTCTTTTTTTTTTTTTTTTAAAGTCCCTGGAATCAGAAATCAGGAGGCTCAGCCCATTCCAAGCCACATCATTGTTCTCCTGGCCCAAGGAAAAATAAACTCATCCAGCAGAAAGACAACCTTAATTCAGCCCAGTTCCACTGCTGCACATGATGAACTGACTTGATCTGCAGTTGGCCTCATCTGCCAAATAAGTTTTTTTGAAGGAAAATCAAAGGTGTTTAAAAACTTAAAACAAATCCCAACCTCCCCACGGTGCTCTCCTTCCCCTTCCAGGACTCTCATTTCATATCAACAGTGTCCAGTCACACAGTGCTGGTGAAAGCAGCATCTGTGAACCCAGCACAGATGGAACCTGCTCTGCTGTGCAAAGAATGTGGGTCAAACCCAACCCACCCCCAAAACCCAAGGGTAGGAAGGAAAACAAGCAGTGCTGAAGTCTGTTAGCAAAGGGACACTGAAGGGCAAAAAAAGGGACAAACTAAAGCAATCTCTTCTGCCAAAGACAGCTGATAACAGCTATAGTGTAACATGTTCATTCCTCGTCATCTGGAGGGAGAGGAGGTGACAGCCTCCAGATTGTGCCCCGTGACTCTGCTTCGCAGCAGGTTTAGGACAACATTTTGCAAGCACTTTTTGTGAAGGCTGCTAATGAGCAGGCTACAGTCCCAAGCTGATTTGGTTCTTTAGAAGATAAGAAATTAGCAGCTATTGTTCAGCTGCCAAACAATGCCACCCAAAAATACACCAAGTCCCTGGCTGTCCCCAGAGGTGAGGAGGTGACAAAAACTGCCCAGAATGAGACTGAATACAGCTGCTGGCCACCAAAACACAGCTACTCTATGTGAATACTTAAACAGCCCATCTAAACATACCTCCTCAGTACGTATTTAGACAGAAGACAGCTCAGAACAAGCGTGATACTTCAGGTTAGAAAACCATTTTTCAACACAAGTTCAGCCTAGCAGCTCCAAAATGACTGAGTGTTGTAGCTGTAAAGACTGAAGTGTTAAAGCACAAAAAACACAGCCTAAGTGCTCTTCTTCCCTTAATGCTGAAGTGACCTAATTAAAGGAAACCCCATTGAAGAAGCATAGCAATTGGACAGATCAACACAATGGGAAAGGTGTTCCAACAAAGGTGTGATGATGGAAGGACCAGCACGATAGAAAAAGGATATAAAGGAAGGGAAGAAGATTGCTCACCAATATCAAAAGATTCAAGGTTCCCAGGGGAAAGCTTCATCAAGTAGGGATCACCAGAAAGAGATCCTTCCCACTGGGGGTCAGCCCTTAAATAAGGTCTATGAGAGGTGCAGCCAGGCTCCATCCCTTCCTGTCTCAGCGGTGAATTGCCTCTACCTGTACTCTCAGGGCTGACCAAGTCCTTTCCCCAGCTGCTCAATCCGTGGTTCAGGCCCTGACTCAATGCTCAGTTCCCATACAAGAAGGAATGAGGGTTTTTTAAAAGACGAGCTGAGAAAATCATCTCTTTTACAGGGAGCTGGATCCTAAGGACAGGCAAGGGGCAGCAGGCTCAGCACTAGAGAGGATGAGGGAACTTTCTAACCTCTCCTTAGGAGATACCAGCATGGGAGCTCTGCCCCACGCTGCCCCCAGAGCTCCCTATGGCTAGGCACCAGCATGGCTTCATGCACACCAACACTGAATGGGGAAAAGGAGAAAGGGCAACCAGGAGTGCAACCATTGCCAGGGAGAAAAGCAGCATCTGAGCTTCCCAGGAAGCAAATGAATTCCATAATGAATGGGAAACTGAGTGGCCCATTGCTCGCATGGACTTTCCAAAGCTCCTCCTTAATTCAGGGCTGTATCTTGCACACTAGAGTGACTGCAGACAGCTGAGATCCAGGAGATAACATTAAAATCCACAGCATTAGCATATGTGAGATGAATGCAGAAATCACAACCGCAGTGTAGCACAACGGAGGAGCAATGAGCTGCCTTCAGACAGCAGCCAAGGGGTGGTTTTACAAGCAGGAGATAGGACACAGGGTAGTTAATGATACAAGGAAATGGGAACATCCATACAGTAAGCAAATACTCATTTTTATGAGCAATAACGAGCACCTGCTCATTATTATTAATGACGCTTATAAATGCAAACACATCTATGTGAGCGTTCTTGTTCACAGCCAATAATCAGAAACAAGGAAGAGGACAAGAGCCAGGTAGCTGTTCAATGAGCTTGCACACAATAAAATGTTCTGCTTTATCTGTCTGGAGGCAGACGGAGCTGCAGTTTGTGTGTGAAAGGAGGAAGAAGAGAGGAGGAAGGCCCAGGAAACATCACCCTGGAGCCCCAGGGGTCCTCCTAAGCCCACTGAACCCTCAAGGCACGCTGTGAGCTCACACCACCGATTTCAGGGCCAACTTCTACACTACACCTCCCCTTTGCTGACAACAGAAACCAAACTTGGTGCACACTTCAGCTCTCCTATTAGGCAAGTCATTTGCTTTGATTAGCCAAAGATCAGTCGCAATTTTCAATGACACCAAGACTTGCATTTTATTGCTTTTTTGGTTTCTTTTTAACAACAATCAGCAGATCCTAAGAGATACAGCTTCAAAATATAGTATGCTCTCCTTCTGAAAGGCTATTTTTAGGAGGGAGCAATTTCTGTCGATCAGGCACATAATACATGACTTAAAGTAACTTGATTACACAATTATTCAATCATTTAGAATGCCTTTGTAGTGTATAATTACTCACTCAAAAATTGCATGCCCTTCCCCCCTCGCTGCCATATTCAGACCAGAAGAAGGAAGGGAAAAGGAAGCTCTCCGAGTGCTAACGTGGAAAGGCAGCGAGCTGAAATAGGCTGAGCTGCAAACAGCCCTCACACAGCACAGCTCAGCAAACTGCAGGGCTGCACTTTGGCTGCACCATGAGCTGATGGTGCACAGATGAGCTCCCAGCCATCTTGCAGTGCAAGGGTATTCACTGCACTTCCTCGCTTCAGTTGGTTAAAAGCAGCCTGGTTAAAAGCAGTAGTTGGTAGTTGGTTAAAAGCAGCCTGGTTAAAAGCAGTCCAAGGCCATCAGAACCAGTAGTTTTTGTGTTTGCAAAAGAAAAACTCTTGGTGTACACTGAGGTGTCGTGAATGTTTAGCACAAGTCCCTCTGCTGCCATTTCTGCAGGGTGATGTGGCACTGTGCTTTGTCCCTGCTGTTAGAACTGTACCCTGGGTCCTGCCACAGAGGCTGAGCCGGGCAGAGCCCAGACAGAGAGAGAAAAAGATGAACACAGGGAGATGCAGGTGAAAATCCAGCAGCTGCTGGGTGAGCTGTCTTCATTGTCAGCACTCGCACAGAGCTGAGTGACGAATGACAAAATGGCATTACAGCACGGGTCAGCACTGACATGCTGTGGTGGGGACTTCTTTTGTTCAGCTCTCACCTGATCTCCTCTGGGAACTGTGCGTTGGTAACCAGGAAGCTGGAGATGCCACGCTGGTGCAGGAGCCGCAGGAAGCGGTTGATGTCGGGGTACATGATGGGCTCTCCCACCAGGGACAGAGCGCAGTGCTTCGCCGACATCGCCTCCTCGAAGCGCTCTGCCCTCACTCCTGTCACTCCTGCAAAGAGAGAGAAGGGGCGTAAATTACACACAGCATCCTCCCAGCTGTGTTTGAAGATGAAGGTCCAGAGGAAGGCACAAGGGTGCTCAGACGGCTGGAGCATCTCTCCTATGGAGACAGGCTGAGAGTTGGGGATGTTCTGTTCTCTCTTCTATGAGCCCTCACTGTGGCCTTCCAGTACTTGAGGGGAACTTACAGACAGGAGAGAAAGTGACCTGTTACATGGTCTGACAGTGACAGGACAAGGGGGAATGGCTTTAAACTAAACGAGAGGAGATGTAGGTCAGATGTGAGGAGGAAATTCTTCACCCAGAGGGCAACGAGGCCCTGGCACTGCTGTCCAGAGCTGTGGGTGCTCCATCCTTGGAGGTGCCCCAGGCCATAGATGGGCCCTGGGCAGTTTGAGTTGGGAGGCACCCAGCCCACAGGTTGGAACTGGATGGGCTTTGAGGTTCCTTCCAACCCAACCATTCTGTAGTTCTATGATAAAATATACCCTAGCACCAGGTGAAGCCAGTTGGAGCCATTCTGTACCAGAGTGGACAGCAAGCCATGGCCAGAGAGACCCAACACAGCCCTGCAGGAGCCCACACAGCAGTACATGGCCAGGCACATAAGGCTCAGGGCTCAGTTAGTTGTCACAAACCACTCCAGTGACATGTGAGTCAAACTGTCCCTTGCTAAGATCTCGGTGACACTGCCTAAATGCTTAGACAAGCACAGGAGCAAGCTCTGTGCCACTTCCAGCAGGCACTCATAGAAGTCACACCACATTCTGATTCTCTGTCCTGCCAACCAGCCACCCCATGAGAATAAAGCCCCAGAGGAGCTGGGCACAGCTCAGCCACCAGATCTGCTGGGCACAACCCAGAGGACATGCTCCAAAAAACACCCACGTGAGTAGCCAGAGAAACTTCAGAGCAAAGAGAAAAACGAGGAACCCAACTGCAGCATCCACATGAAGATGCCAGCTGCAGGCTTAGCAGATCTGAACTGCAATTATTCCACCCATGAGCGGGCAGGGGAGAGGGAAGGCTGTTCCATCCATACCCAGCTATGCGCTCAGGAGCCCATATGAAGGCATCCAACTACAAGTAAGCTTTTGTTCCAGATGTGTCACATCCCATTTCCTTGGCGTGTCTTGATGGACTTGAACAACATCTGAGGTTTTGGGTTGGGGGTTGGTCTGCTTCAAAAAGCAAAGAGTGAAGTTTGAAAGCAGGTCCTCAGCTCACCTCCCGTTGCCTAGATGCTGGAGCTCAAACAGCACAGAAAATTACATGCTATGCTGCAAAGCCTAGATAAAAAAGAGGTGTTGGTGGATATTGCTTCAGCCTCACGCAGAAAAGCTGGTTGGTGATCAGAGTGAAGCTCAGCACATTTAAACCAGCCGGGCTTCGTCCTGAATAAGGACAGGACTAATGGCTGCACTGCAGCAACCTGACAGCGCTAAATGAGAGCTTTATTGGGAACTTATTGGGAAAGAAAGGAACATCTCAGCCACACACGGAGATGAAAGAACTGCCTTTTGTTTTTCTAGAGCTACTGTGGGTCGTTTGGGGAATTAACTTCTCTCTGTCTCAGCATCTGGCAATAGGACTACAGTAATTACAGTGCCAGCTTCGGAAGAAAAATTCCAACGTCACAAAGTTCAAAAGGAACTTTCTCAAATCAATTTACATCACAGTGGCACATACAGCAAACACACTGCAGATGAGGGCAAGGGTTTTATATGCAATCGTTTGCCCACATAAATCACAAGCTAGACAGGAGCAAAGCAAACAGGATTAGTGGGTATTGCTGCCTCCAGCTGCTATCCTACCAGTGCACGTGGATCAGGGAAACTAAAGCATGGCCCAGCACAGCCCCTGCACAGGCTGCTGGATGTGGGTGTCCCCCTGCAGCTACCTGTGCCTGCGATGCACAAAATACGAGTGTAGCATCACACACAGGCATTCCCAGATCTAACTTTAAGACCCCAGTGGGAATTGCTCAAAACATACCTCCTCCTGTAAGCCAGCAGGATTTCCTCTTCCAGGTCATGTGTTTGTGTCTATTTCATTTTTTCCCCCAGCCAAACCAGGGCTGTGCTGTCAGACATCCACTCTCTTATTTCTGAGTTATGTTTCCATTCTGTGTTTGCCCTTCACAAGGGCACAGAGACTCACAGTCCCTACCTACAAAACGTATCCATCAAACAAACTGCTTCACACCTCCCCACCTCCGCTCCCTGTCAGTAAGATGTCTCTCCAACAGTTCTTCTTTAGGAGAATTATGTGACATTAACTAACACTTACGGTCTCCAACACCTGTACAAACCATGGCAAACATTAAAAGAGAAGGGAACACGTTTTCAGAAGCACACAGTGAGGTTCCTGCAGGACACAGATTGCCCTCTGGTTGCACTCTCACAACTCCTGGCCCAGGGTAATGCTGCTAGGAAGCACACACACTTTTCAGGGAATGTTTGGCAATTGGTTTAATGGAAAATAAGTTTCAGAAGAGAGAACAGGACTGTCTTTGCAGAGCTCTTGACACTTTAGCAACAGTTTCTGCCAAATCACTGTGGAATCTTTCCTCCTCTCCAACCCTTTTTGGGAAGTGCAGTAAGGGGAGAATCAGAACTGCAGAACTATGAGGGTCAGAAGGGATCCCTGGAGGTTCCCTGCAGTAGGCTGCATAGGAAAGTGTGAGCAACAACCTGCTGTGATAGGAGCATTTGGTGTAAAAAGCAAGCCTGACTTAGAGATTGCTGCCAATTGCTATTGCATCCAAACTGGAACAAGGCAAAAAAGTGTCTGAGTTTCAGAAAGTGACAACAGTTAAGGGAAGATGGGTTATTGTGAAGATAGTAAATGTGCAATTTTTATTTTCCCAAATGTATCACCACTGCAAAGGAAAACCATGGAATCACAAAATTATGGGGGTTGGAATGGACCTCAAGAGATCATTGAATCCAATCCCCTTGCTACAGCAGGTACCCTAAAGCAGGTCACATACGTAGGTGTCCAGGCAGGTCTTGAAGATCTCCATAGAAGGAGACTCCACCACCTCCCTGGGCAAGCTGTTCCAGTGCTCCGTCACTCTCACCATAAAGTTCTTTTGCATGTTTGTATGGAACTTCCTACGCTCAAGTTTTAGGCCATGATGGAGGGTGATGGAGGTCCAGGCTGGTGCTCAAACACACACAGCCACAGACTTAAGGTCACCAGCCAAGGGGTTGGGACATCAGCAAGAGATGGCTGCGACCTCACTGACTGTCGTGTATAAATTTGGGCACTGGCAGAGTCCAGTGTGGACTTGGACCTGGACTCCAGCTGAGCATATCGGTGAGTCTGAGTACTGAATGAGGCCTTGGTGAGGTCAGATGATGATTACCTCAAGTGCCCTGCCCCACAGCATGCTCAGTTACAGCCTGCAGGATGAGCAGAGCTGATGCTCACTGCTTCTGAGCATGACTTCCCACCTGAGCACTGGGCTGCCTTTTTCCAATGACATCCAAGAGATTTCGCATCCCTGCTCCAGTGGCTCCAACAAGAGGTCAGGAGGATTTCCAGTGATGGATGGTGAGATGTGCATAAGACAGAGCACCATTCTGGATGTCCTCTGTGTGCACAGGCTCAATGTGCAGTTTGTTGGTGTTGTGTCTGTTGCTGCTGCCCAGGGCCCCATCCAACCTGGCCTTGAACGCCTCCAGGGATGGACGGGGCATCCACAGCCTCTCTGGGCAGCTGTTCCAGCACCTCACCACTCTCTCTGTAAATAACTTCCCCCTGACATCCAACCTCAATCTTCCCTCCCTCAACTTAAAAACATTTCCCTTTGTCCTGCTGTTATCTACCCTTTCAAAGAGTTGATTCCCCCTCCTGTTTGTAGGCTTCCTTTAGGTACTGAAAGGCTGCAATGAGGTCACCCCGCAGCCTTCTTTTCTCCAGGCTGAACAAGCCCAGCTCCCTCAGCCTGTCTTCATAGTAGAGGTGCTCCACTCCCTTGATCATCTTCATGGCCCTCCTCTGGACCCTCTCCAACAGCTCTCCATCTTTCTTGTACTGGGGGCTCCAGACCTGGACACAGTCCTGCAGATGGGGCCTCACAAGAGCAGACTAGAGGGAGACAATCACCTCCCTGTCCCTGCTGGCCACCCCTCTTCTGATGGAGCCCAGGATACCATTTGTTTTCCATGCTGTGCAACACAGGCTCCTGGATCAACACCTGAATCACCCTGCCACCAACCAGACCTGAACACATTGAGCACGATCCCTTCAGCCTGCCAATACACTTTCAACTCCTTTAAGAGCCCGGCTGCCAGAAGCAACCCAGCCCACCACACTGCATGCACACACCAGTACAGCTGGGTCTTCTGGCTGCTCTCCCCGAAGCTCAGAACGGGAGCTCCCAGGGATCTGAAACTGCAAGATGATGCAAACCAGCCCCTGTGAGCAGCAAAGCTCGTGAGGCCCCAGCTCCAGTTGTTTTTCCGCCTACTGCTTAAGTCCAATGAATGAGGCAGAGCAACGCTGCTCCGCTGACATGAGTTTTTTCGCCTGTCACATTTTTTAAGCCATTGGGTTCTCTTTGCACACAGCCAACATAAACAAACGGGTTCCCGAAACGACAGCCAAGGCTAAGGCTCCTCTTGCACTTTTAATGGATGCTTCATTTCACTCCTGCTGCTCACACAGCCTCTGCTGTCAATTAGGAGGAGCAGAGTTCTAGACCTGTCCTGCCAAGCTGGCCGGCACACTGAGCACAGGGCTGACCTTGGCAGAGCGACCAAGCTCACTGCTTGGGGAGAGAAGAATAGAAGAAAGCAAACATTTCTATACATACAGCTGAAAAGCAAATAAATGAACCCATAAGGATTTGATAATGGAAGCAAAATACAGTAATTTGCAGATCAGCGAACAACTGCAGCTTCAGTTACACACAAATACACTGAATAACCCTCAAAAATAATAACCTGAATGTTACTACTCACTTATTAATGAGGAAAATCTAGAAGTGTCAGAGGTAACAAAAGTTTCTAGTGGAATATGGCTAGACAATATATTTCTTACTTGTGTTGGATATCAATCCCTCTTGCCTTCCATCTGCTCTCACTTTGTCCTAAGAACAATGAAATCACTCATCACCCAGGTGAGCTTTAACCGCTTTGAAAGCCTCAGGGCACACAGAAGGACACGATGTCACAACTACCAGCATGCACAAGAGGCAGCTCCAGTCTGCTCCCTCAAGACAGGGGTAGACACTCAACAGCTGACTCAGGTTGTAATGACAAAAACAAGGCAAAACTTCGCTAAAACCAAGCAGTAATCATGCCCTCAAGGCTTCCCACCTTCTGAGATTATAGATCTTATGCCTCTATCTGTCCTGCAGGTGACCAGGATGCTCTGATCTAAGCTTTAAAGATGCTTCTGCATCTTCAAACAGCGTCACTGATGAGAAGTTAGTTACCTTTGAACTCCTTGATCATGTTCTGATGATTCTCAAGAGCTTCCCTCAAGATCATCTCAGGTTGGTCCATTTTCCATCGCCACTCTGTGCCCACGGGATTTGTATGATGTCTGGAGGAAAAAGAGACCAGAGTGACTCGCTGCAGTTTGCACAAACCCATCCGTCAGCCTGCAGGATCCTTCTTCTAACAACTCTCAGACGTGATCACTGGACACGTCTCACATCCTCCTCCTCCCACTTTCTGGTCTACCCAGGAAGAAGAGCAAACGTTGCAGCCCAGTATCAACATTGTGCATCTATTTGTAATCATGGGTAAAAGGTTTATGAGAAGGTAAATGATGCTCTGCAGTCAGGAAGACCTCTTCAAGGAAAGAAAAATCAGCTCTACCTCCTCTTCTAACAACAGCTACACAAAGCACTCAAAAAGGAAGATCCTAAGCCCCTCTTAAGTTCCATTCTGGAGGTACCAACTACTGTCTTGAGAAGGAAAAGGTTTTCCTAAGCCAATTCCTGGTTAACATTCTAGTAAGAAGACAGATGAGGGCAGGCTGCCCAATGGGGGCCTGCAGCATGCCAGAGCTGTGTTTCTAGTGGATGTGGTTGGGCTCCTGGCTTTACTCAGCAGGAGCTCCCATCAATTCTGAGATCTGCAAGCTAACCAGCTACTGACACTAAAATGCAGACAGATTGCAGAAACCACCTCATGATCCTTCTAAGGAACAGCTGTGTCAAACTGGGTTTGGAAGTCAATGCTGCCTATGCAGAAAGCATCACTGTACTCACATTTTGCTTTCCTCAAAAACACAAAAAGCTCACACAGGGAAATCCACCACCCAAGTGCATGGAAATTATCCGAAGCTTCTCTTCTTTCCTTTATTCTTTAGCACAAGAGGATATCACCACACCATTAGCAGTCACCTGGATGAACCTAATTAGTGGTTGGTGACCCTGCACACAGCAAGGGGGTTGAAACTAGACAATCATTGTGGTCAACCCAGGCCATTCTGTGATTCTAATCCAGGCCAGCAAAGGAAATCCCCCAAAGTGGTGTGCTACCAGTGCGTGCTTGCATTGGACACCTCACCGCACAAGCATGGACCTCTCACTGGTGAGGGGCATTTCACAGGATCATTAAGGTTGGAAAAGATCTCCAAGATCTCTACGGCCAAGCCCAACCTGCCCCCACCATGCTGACTGCCCACATCCCTCAGTGCCACATCTTTATGGTTCTGGAACACCTCCAGGGACAGTGACCCCACCGCCCCCTGGCAGCTCTTTTGGAGAAGAAATTCTTCCTAATATCCAACCTGACTCTCTTCTGGTGCAAATTAAAGCCATCACCTCTTCTCCTGAAACCTCTCGTCCCAGGGGCCTTGCTGCACTCATGTTAGTATCAAACAGGGATAGGAAGGTGCCTACAGGATGCACTCAGAATATCAAAGAATTCCTGCACTTTCTACTCCTTGTTCTCTGCCCTCTCATTCTTTTTCCCTAAAATACACTACAAAACCTTCTCCACTTCTCCCCTGCTGATTCGACTGTGGCTCATAGAGTAACGTATCAAGAAGAACAGTATGTATTTGCTGTCCCTTTCCAAACAGCACTACTGGATTAACCTAGGGCTGGACAAGAAAACATCAAGCAGCACCTCCTATTGCAAGGCAATTCTCCAACCAGCTGAGCTGTGCTGGGGTCAGCCATGGGGAGGACTGGAAGCTCCCGCCTTGCTCAGGCTTCCAGCCCCAAGGCTTGGGATGTGACATCCAGCACTTAACTACACAACAGGCAGGGCACCTCCTCAGAAGGAAACGGCTGCTTCAGTGCCTCCTGGAGACAATCAAGACTCCCACTAATTTCCCCAAATGATGAAAACCTGCAGTTCCACACTTGGGCTGTGCTAAGACAGATTCTAAACCCAACATCAACAAAACCAACCTCTGCAAGCATCTCTTTGTCCACAGAGAGAGCAAAGACTCAAATGCTGCTCTCACAGTATGTTATCATCTCAAAGATCCTTCAAGCCATAGCAGCCTTCCTCTCTAATTTTTTATTTGCTGCCAACATGGAAAATTTTCTGAATACCAACTATAAAAAGGCATTTATAAACCACTTACATGTTTAACTACATAGCTTGTACCCTATATATTTAACAGGGCAAGCTGGCAGAAAATCAATAGGCTCTTAATGCATGCTGGACAACTATTAATTACCAGCGCCAAGCAGTCCTTGCTTTTCTAACACATTCCAACTGTTCACAAAACATACCAAGTCGTGCCTGCAAAGCAGCTCAATGGCAAACAGCAGCTTCTCCTTCTCTAGGAAACCAAGCACCGTTTGGTGGCTGATGGGATCACTGCAAAGGCCATGACACAGCCATTCCCTTTCCGTACCTCTGAGTTGTGCATCTCACCAGCTACTTGGTTCTTGGGCAGGTAACGGGGCATCCTTTCTCAGCCTAAAATAACTTCACACACACATCAGAAAGCCCTCACTTTATTAGAAAAGGAAAACGTTGCTGCTGGAAAACTGTGAAAGCACAGGGCATGTGGTCCCTAGGAAAGGATGGGAGGGAAAAAGCAGAACAAAACCAAGAGTCGGTGACTGCAGGATGCAGTGAGCCCCAGAGCCAGCAGGTGAGGTCCCAGAGGAGACAGAAAGGCTTAAGGGCAATGAGTTCCAGGGAACTGGCAGCTTTTGAAATGCTATTAAGGCAGAAGTGCAGACTGTGGCAATAAAAAGCAAAGATACGGAGTGTAACAAGAAACCAATCTGGCAGAATCACAGCGCTGCTGCAACCTTGCAGTGCTCCATCTGAAAAGAACAAAACCACAGGGTCACACGCAGAGAGGTCAAGGCACACAACCACAGGATGCATAAAAGGGCCAGCAAGAAAGACCTCCCTATAATGACATGGGGAGCAAGCAGATGGCCAAGGAAAAAGTCCAGCCGATGCACAAGGACAAAGTTTAATGTTTCTCTGTTATAGCCAAGAAAATTGCTTGCACCTCCCACTGGCAAAGGGAAAAATGGGCGAGACGATGAAAAGGACAGGTAAATGATGAACATCTCAAAGTGCTGTCACAGGGATGGATCCCACAGCCCTCAGTGCACTGGATGGACTGGCTGACAGGGCATCACAAGAAGCTGAAGGCTTGAAGACAATACACAAAAGATTTCTGACACTGTGAGAGTGTGAATGCAGTGCTCCAGCAGGAACTCCTGTACCAGCCCCCTCCTCGTTCCTCAGGACACATGGGACTAAATACATGGTTGTGATGCTCTCACCAGAGGACAGCACGAGGATGAACAGCAGCCAACTCAAATCTGTTGAGAATTTCTTATACCAAGATCGAGAGAGGGAACAGGAAAAAAGAAGAGGCTGAGCTTTTGATTTACACAGTGTTTTAATGACCTGAACAAAGAGACATCACGGAGCAGTACAATTCTGGGGAAGAGCTTATGGACACAATGGAAAACTTTAACCAGCCACCACTGGGTCAGAAGGATGAGAGACCTGGCCCAAAGGGCACCCACAGGGCAGTGCACCAGGATGGAGCTGCCCAGCAGCAGAACCCATACATTGGAAGATGCAAACCCATAGAAAACACAGCAGATCATTGCATTGACATCATCACCGTATCAGTGGTGACAAGCAGTCACAGCCTATAACTGGCTGCAAGACAGGGAAGCAAAGAGCTCAGCAGTGCTTATACACATTGCTCTCAGTGTGTGCAAAGGAAAAGTAATAATGGCCTTGAAAGCAGAGCAGAGGAGATGGCTGGGCATGCAGAGCACCTGCAGCAGGCTGCAAGTTGCATCAGGGCTTCCTGTCCCTGGGCACAGCAAACAGTTTTATTTTCTATTTGTCTACTGAAAAATCAGACAATGCTCGCTTTAAAAAGGTGTTTTTAATTGTTGCTCCTATCTAAACTGTTATCTGAGGATAACAGCACAGAATGCACCTACAGAAACTTCCCATTCGATAGCTGGGTTTTTTTCCCCCATGTTGCTCTGAGCCATCTTTTGTTGCTAGGCTTAAGAGTGAGAAAAATAGCTTATAATGAATAAACAGAGGAAAAAAATAAAAGCTTTTCAAAAGGCATGGAGTAATTCCTACATGCTGATGAGTTTAATTAACACAAAGGAATTAAGTCTACATCAAGTATTGGATATCTAAATATCTAAAGAAAAATCATTTTAAGAGTGACATCATGTTCACTATTTTCCAAAAGTGAAACTTGAACTTGACATGTTTTCAAATCAAATATAATTTTCAGAGACAGCTGAAAAAGGCATGCGTTCATTTTTTTTTATTTTTATTTTTTAGATCTGAATCAAGTTACTCATTACTGTAAGTGGGTACCAACCCACCTATGATACCTATCAAGACATGAACATTCCCTAGGCAGTGAGTTGGCTATATTCACTGAGGCAGTGAGCATTCACATTAATAACAACAGCTGCACATCCAAGAGCAAGTCCAAGAGTGCACATACTGCATGATGAGAAGCAGAGATGTCAATCCCAGATATTTCCACCAGGATCCTTTTCCAGCCCATTGTGACCCTTCTGCATGATGATGGAACCAAAGCTCCTCGCTGCCCAGCATGTGCTGAGAATCCTCCATGGTAGATGCTACTTGTGTTGGGTTTCACAACCTTATGGTCATTTAGAGTGACCTTACCTCCACGTTAGGTGCATGTAAACAAAAAGAAGATACAGCAATCTTGCTGTAAGAGGAGTCCTCAGTCTGAGCACGAATTCAGCCTGCTGACATATTAGAGCTGAGGCCACCCAGTACAGGCAAAAACACTACGAAAGTTAACAGAAATACAAATCGAATTCTTTATGGAATATTTTATTCTGTCTGGTTTGCCTCCTCCTCGGGTCCAAAATAAATGAGGTTTAAATTAATAGGTTTTATTAGCTGCTCCATCTTTTCACAATAATGGATCGTGTTTTAGACGCTCAGCCAGAGGACATAATCAAATCAGGTTTGAATTGCAACACAATCACCAGCAGCATCAGGCTGCTGGTCCCACACTCGCCCTAATTGATTAAGAGATTTGGTCACTCGCACATTTCCATTTAGACAATTAAGCTAAAGAGGCACTACAAACAGCAAGAGCTACTGGGAACAATAACGAACAGCAACAGACTGTTTTTATAGGGAGAGCTATGAGTTAGGGATGGTGCAGTAATTAAAGTCTTTTTTGTTTGTTTGTTTTTAACCCTCCCTCTTTATTCTTACTGCAACAGCCTCAGCAGTTCAACCCACAAAGGAATGATTGAGAAATAAACAGAAAAACCACAGTGCTCTTATCTGCTGCTCAGTGTACCAAGCTGCACAACGAGGCCAAAGCATAAAGCCTCTATTAAAACATTTTGCCAGCAGCAGATCAAAACTATCACTTCCCGTGTCCCCAGCAGCACAGATGGTGACTGCTAATAAGGTCTGTGTTCATACAGCCCAGCCAGTGGTGCCCGGGATGCTGCATTCAGCCTCATGGGATTAAGAAGCTGCACAAAGTGGTGGGTTTGAAATAAAGCTACTGCTTCCAGGATTCCTCTTAAATGTGAGGAATGACACCTCCAGAACGATGGGCTGGAGTTGCATGGAAGGTATTACACACAGCTATTTATCCCAATTCACACTTGGCTTCTCTAATTCAGCCCCATTCTCCAGACACAGTCTGCTGCTAGAAAAATAAAAACCAGCAGAGTTGGGTCATTTTGAAGAGGAACAGTGTTAAATGGCCTGCAGTACAATACCAGGAAAAAAACATCATTGTGGTGATGTTACTGCTTTCTATTTGCTGTTTATGGTGTACCTTCTGTGTAGGGACAAAGGGGACAATAATACGCATGGCAATCTTCCCCCATCAGCACAGCCAGAGCTGCAGAATTCAATGCACCATTGCAAGCTGATAGATGGAAAAAAGGAACAAGCAGTACGTTTTTCTTCAGTCATCAGATTGTTATTACACACTCTGAAGAAAAGTGGCAACACTTGTACATTAAACATGCCATTTGCTGTGTCCTTTCAAGCCAGGATAGGATGAAAGCCCATCAAGAGAACCAATTAACATTCTGGAATAGAGTCCCAAATGCAAACTTAACAGGATAACTACTGCCTGATGCTTATACTTAATATTAACATGGGAGACAGCTTCAAAGTGCATTCAGAATTACAGCCATACTTCTGCATGGATGCTGTCGTTTTAGTATTCTCATGAAATATTTGCATTATTAGAGCTTGAAGATTGAAAAGATGGGAAAGGCTTTGGCTGTTTTGGCATGAAAATAGTGGCATGTTGGACACCCAGGCTTAGGGACAGAACAGCTGTTACTGGCAGCCAGCCCCCTATAGCAGACTTAAATAGCAGAGGATGTGCAGCCCCCGTGGTTTGAAATAGCTAGCAAGGTAGGAGACAAAAGAGCTGAAAGAATAACCTGTGTCCTCCCACTCAGCACACTTCCACATCACCACTTTTATTTCTGCCAAGCCTCAGCGATCCCCTCTCACATCCCGCAGTCCAGCAGAAGCCTCCCTCCAGCATCCAGGCATCTGGTGAGCTGGGGCAGCTCACAGCTCAGATCCAGGCAAAGCTTCAGAGAAGGACAAGGAAGCAATCCCTCTGAGAAAAGGGTCACTTTACTAAGATGCAAGATCATTTATCAGCTGCTTTAGGAAGCAACAGTTGGTGAAGTCATCACATTTCACTCACTGAAAACGTGACTGAGTTGGGGGCAAAGGTATTTTAAGTAAGAAACAGGATTTGTTTTCAGAACAAAAGTACTTGAAATGTTTAGCACGTGAGTGGCTTTGCACAAGGCGAGAGCTCATCCATGCTCTCCAAAGCACTAGGAGAGTCCTAGCCATCTCAAGAGGGAAACGTCGTATCAAGGGCTGACACCCTGCCAGCTCATTCATAGCATGGAGCAGAGGTACTATCTCTCAGTCTACCCAACTCCCTGATTTCACCTTCCACTGATATCCAGCACATCTGAACTTGCTGGGGCCCAGGACACAGACACAGAGGAGACTACTCTAGGGAAGGGGGCACTGGGCAGCCCTCAGACCCTGTTCACCAGGAGTTGGAACTGGATGATCTTTAAGGCCACTTCCAACCCAAGCCAGTCCGTGATCAAGTCCCAGAGATGGGCAGCCCACAGGAGCCCCACCAGTCCCAGCCCAGGGGCCTCACAGCACTCGGAGTGCAGAGACACAAAGGGAAGGGGAGCACAGCTCCCTGACAGCAGTGGAGCAGCTCAGAGCCCAGCTGGCCCACACAGGGTTGTCCGGAGCAGGGCACAGGTTTAGCACTACAAATACTGCTGCTTAGGCACTGCTCTGTCCCTTGCATTGCTATGCCTCGAAAGACCACAGACACAGGGGTGGTACAGCATGTAAGCAGGTGACCTCTCCCAAAGTAGAGCTGCATCAGCACTTTACCTCCAGCAGAACACACATTTGTTGGCACAGGCCAGGCTCGGCGTGGCTTCCATGCAGCGGTGGCTCTCGATTCCATAGAACGTGTGCTTGTAGCAGCCACCTCTGCCTCGGAGCATCGACTGGCAGCAGAGAAAGAGACACACAAATACAAGAAAGTTAAAACTAAGGGTTTAAAATCTGCCTCCCCGGGCACATTTAATGTTTTTACTTGCACTGGTGTCCAAAGTCACCTGTGATGGGTGCTGCAGCCATGGAGCAGCTCAGAGAAATGACAAATGCACTCCAGCTTAATAAATTCAAAGTAAGATCAGCATACAGTCCAACTGTTTACATACAGCTGAATAGAAACAAGGTATTACGGTGTCAACATTAGCTGCCCTGGAGGAAGCTTAAGTGAAATCAATACTTTCTCACTTGTAACACCAAAGCGTAGCAGGGTGCTTTTAACTGAATTAGCCAACATAGGTAGCGAGTGAAGCCACTTAGGCTGTAAGAATTATTGTACAAGCCCAATAAAGAGTAACAAGGGTCAATTTAATGGCTGCTCTATGAAACACTCAATTCTTCTGGATTTTTGTGCAGAGTACTTCTTCTAGCCTCCTATTAAAAGATACCCTGCCCCTCCAAACCCCCACCCACACCAGTGGCCCCAGCAGGACACTGAGCTTCCTTCCCAGAGCTGCAGATACCTTCCCACCATACCCTTCTCCTGCTCAGCATGCAGGGAGCAGGGACTGTCTTCCATTATCTCAGTTTAATAATAATAAATGAGAAAGGTTCTTCGGAGCTCTCCGGAGAAAATGTGAAATATGGCTGTGTAACTTTTAATCTAACTTTCCCTACATGAAAGGTCCTAGCGATGCAGAAACAGGTCTGCAGTGAGCTGTGGGGGAAGAATAGAGGCAGTGCCTGGCGTACATACAGCACTGCATACAGGTGAAAGACTGAACAAAATGAAAAATGCTGTTTACTCTGTCCATCCCTCCAACCACAGATTCCAGGAGACTCCATTTCCAGCAGAGCAAGCTGTCTTACAGATCTCATCACGAAGGCAAATCGGACTCCTCCTTACATTTGTAGGTTCTCTGCTCCTTCCAGAATCCAGCAGACACAATGATTTCAAACTGAGATATCAGTACACAGCTTTCTGTAACACTCCTCCTTCCAACCCTGGCTTGTTTCTCACTGATACAAATCCAGACCAGTCTTCCTGAAGGCACTCACACACTGGTGTGAATCTGAGTCAACGCCACTGCCTGTAACCAATTTCAGCTCAATTTATTAGAGCTCTTTCTATTCAACTCCTGCTTAAGCTAAAAATAGTAAGGGCCTATCTAAGCACACAGAGCTGCTATTTATTTTGTGAAATGGCTTTACAGTGCCGCATTAAATTTCAGTTCTTTAATAAAAACAGGCTCTCTGGTTTTCTCTCAGTCCCAGCACTGACGAAGCCTGACAAGTTTTTCTTTAAACATTTCACGGCCTTCCTTGGCACCAAGAACAACAGAGGAGAGAAATATTTGTCAGAGCAAACAGCAGAAGCATTGCTGGGATCAGCATGCCTCAAATGTTCCTGACAATACAGTGGTGGGCTTGCTAAGCTGTTCACAAGGAGCCTTTGATGAGACAGTTCATTGATAGCAAGCCTTAAATAAAGCCTCACTGCAGCCACCCACTTTGGTGATTGCCATTCACAGAGCTCTTCTCAAAAATAAACAAAGTTAATCACGTAGCAAAAGAGAGCTGAGACCGGGAACTGATCGCTGCCACTGCACAGGAGTGAGCTGGCACTCTGATGAGATGCTGATTCCCAGTTTATCACCCTGTGAACGCTGACAGCTTTAGCATGTTAGAATCAATGCTACTTCTCAAATGCACACCCTTACAGAGCAGCTTCCAGCATGCGAGCTGTGAACTGCTTCTCAGGGACCTGCAGAGGACAGCTGGAGCAAGAAACAGAGCAAACTTCAGCTGCTTTGCTCAGTTTGCTGTATGAACCTTCCAAGGGGAAGAACAGCAGAGGAGCACTGCATGTTGCCAACCAGATGCATCAGCCACAGAACAACAGGCCTGAGTGCCCGTGTGCCATCTGAACGTAATGATGAGCTGTGCTATCTTTGTCTCCCAAGACCTCACACCTCTGATGCAATCTTCCCTCTTAAATGCGTGGCGTTCCAGTCCTGTCCCGCATTTCAGTAGGCAGGAAGGATTCCAGCAGGCAGCAGAAATAGGACAAAACAGGAACAGTGATCTTTCCAGCTCTCTGCTCGCGTCCTGACTGCTGGCAGTGGGGCTGTAATAGTCTGACATGCAGAACTAGAGCTTGGGAAATGAAGTGTTGCCTTGCAGGTAACAGAGCATTTTTAAAGGGTATTCCACCTGGAAGTTCTATACCTGTATAGCTGTAAGAAGTAAGTCTCTAACTTTCAATTTATGAACAGAGAAAAAGTAAAAGAGCATACCTTTGTCCACCGACAGAGCTTCACTCCAGAATGGCTTCCTATCAACTTATAGCCTGAAAACAAGAGGTGAGACAAACCATCAGTTTTAATCTGCAGTAACTGACATATGAAACAACTAAGTGCTGCACAAAATCAAGCATCTCCATTCTCAGTGCTGCTCCTCCCTGCTGGCACAAGTGGGACACAGCAACGAGGTGTCCGTGCCCACCCACCTGACCCTGTGAGCACACACTCTGAGCCAACATGTGGCCGTGCAAGGGATCTGGCCAATGGAAAGTGTTTTTCTCCCCTCGGGATCTATTTGTACTGCTCAGTTCTGTTTGAATCAATGGAGAGGGCTCAGGACTGCATGGAACAGGTATGGGACAGCTGCACTGACCCCAAGGGTTGGCACGTGGACCCAGCAGCACATCAGACCAAGCCTGAGGAACACCACCTGATCCCATGCAGCATAAGGGTGAGGAAAGCACTGAGATGGAGGGCTCAGTGTGAGCCCAAGCACCAACAGTTCAGCAGATTTACCACCTCTACCTTCAGGGCACAGTCCTGGTGAACAGCTCTGCAGGCAGCTGCACCCCACACCTGCAGGAAGCTGGTCTCACACCATTTCCCACCTCCCAGCCAAAACCAACAGAATTTTATTTATTGGCCCACATGGATTAATTCTACAGTATTCATTAAGCACTAAGTACTATTATTACCCAAACTGCTTGAGTTAGGTTATTTTCCTCTTTGAAAAAAAAAGTACTTAGAGACCAATACATCTGAAGGATTAAAAAACGCTTACAAATCAGCATAAAAATGTGAGGGATTGGAGAGCCTCACGATGCTGTTCACACTGCAGCACTGACATGTCAGCATGGCCTGGCTGCCCAAACCAGCACATCTCCACTGGCAGCAGGAGGCTGATGTATTCATTAACACTTCCAAACAAAATCATACTTTAGGTATCCAGCACCCCTCCTGACAGGGCAGGAACATCCCACTTTAGGCTGCTAAGGGACTGATGGCTGCATTAAGTGAGGTTGCAGGGACTTCACGCTGCCCCCAAGAGCACATCCTGAGCTTCATTTGCCCTCCAGCTCCATGGGAGCAGATGGTACTTCAGACTTAAGCCCTGAAGGAGCAGACCTCAAAACCCTGCATGCACGTTCAGGGTTAAGCAAACTCAAGATAAGAAGCAATGCAAGCCAACAAGCCTTGACATTTTATATCCTTTCCTGGAAAAGGAGAGAGCGTAACTCTAACTAGAGCTTTTGACTTGGAAGTGATGCTCTGCAAAGCCTCAGGTGACACTGGGGACACCATCTAGGACTGGATGCAACCCAATAGACCACATAGCAGCTTCCAGCCAACCCTTGCCTGAGAACTAAGCACACAGAGCTGCATCCCATTATCTCTTCCCACTCCAGATCTCTCCTGCGCGTTTCTTCTGCAGTTGTCTGCAAACAGCCTTGCCCACCAAGGGCTAATCCAACTGACACCTCTCTGTGTCACTCAAACTCATGTCCCTAAAGGATCTGATGAACACAGAAGGGTGGTATGTCCCTCTGACACAGCTGCCCCAACCAAACTCTGTGCTGCTATCAGCCACCACCATCCTCTATTTCTCACAATGCAGCAACAGCATCCATAGAAAGATCATAGATCATCTGTCAGCAGAAGTAACGTGGCTGCTTTAAAATGAGCATTAGTTTAGAGTTAAACAGGAAATAGGGTATGCTTGCCCAAATTCACTGAGCTGCTTAAGGGAAGACAGGAGGCTTCTGAACTGAGCACAGCACCAAACCCCACAGCCCAAAGCTGCAGCACTCTCTTTTAGTTGATCTGATTTACTTCCAGCACATGGAGCACTCGCAGCACCCTGCAAAGGCCAAGAAAATGGTACACATTCAACACCAAACCAGAGGTTTACAAATTTCAGCCAGCTTTAGCAATGCAAAGGTGTTTACTCACCCTACTTGTTTCTTCCAGTAACCACAGCCATGACTCCTGGCAGCAGCCATGCATTTATGAGCACTATATGAAGTGCCTGAACTCAGGTCTTCATTGCATAGGGAGCATTGGTGGGAGCATGGTTACCCTGCTAAGCCACTACAGCAAGCTGCACATGAACACTCCGACTTTCATCAAGTATCAGTGACAAAGCCTGACTCTTTGCATATCTACTGCAGGTGAGCAAAATTCCTTTGATTTGATGAGCCTGTTTCTTGAAGTATTTAACTGCTGGCTTGTAACACAGGCAGCAAAGCAGCTTGAGCTCTAAGAAGAATGGAAAGGGTTATGTGGGAACAAAAAGTGCTGAGTTTCAAATCAGCTATGGGAGAAAGCAAGTCAGAGAACCAGGCAGAGCCTTCTCACTCTGTTTCCAGGGCTCACAGAACACACATCTTCTGCTTAAGAGCAAACCCAAGTAGTATTACTTGTAAGCAATAACAAACAAGTGAATATTTGGATGCAACACCTTCCAAACAATACAATTGTCTCAATGGGACTCAATCTCTATGCATATTCAGATCCTAAGGCTCTACAGCATCCTTCATATTCAAAACACTCATTATTTCTTAACCTGTAAACTCTACTCATGACTAAAGGCACAAGAATCCCAGATCATAAGTCTATTTTAGCTGATCTCATGCTAGATAATAAATGTTGAATGGCCAAGACACTCACCAAGCTTCACTGAAAATCAGTGTCACTATCATAAAAATTTGAATTAAGTTTTTAAACAAGCTTTTGAGTGAAATTAGTTTCACCAGGCAATAACACAAGGCCAATAAACATTTGGTGACTGCTTGCCCTGAGAATCCAACCCGAGTTTAATAGACCACGGGCAGACTTTTAGCTGAGATAGCCACTGTCACAGATGGTGAATGCTCCATCTTTAGTGCAAAACGCTTCTGCAGCTGTTTAGGATCACAATGCAACACTTCAACTCCATCATATAAACAGTTTGAAAGGTTCACTCCACAAAATCCAATCTAAGTCTGAAAAAATGCACCTGCAATAGCCACACTACACAACTTGGAGACTCTCCTGGCTACCATAGAATGGCCTGGGTTGAAAAGGACCACAATGACCATCTCATTTCAACCCCCTGCTATGTGCAGGTCACCAACCAGCAGACCAGGCTGCCCAGAGCCACATCCAGCCTGACATTGAATGCCTCCAGGGATGGGGCATCCACAGCCTCCTTGGGCAACCTGTTCCAGTGTGTCATCACCATCAGGGTGAAAGACTTCCTCCTAATATCCAACCTAAACCTCCCCTGTCTCAGTTTAAAACTATTCCCCCTTGTCCTATCACTATCCACCCTCATGAACAGCCCTAACAGCTATCCTGACACAGCAGTGCCCAACAGAAAACCAAAGGCACCTTACCTTTCAGAACAGCTCCCTACACTTAAAAGCTTCCTTCAGCTGAAGTCTTTGAAAGCACAGAGCAGAAGATTTAATTATGAAAGAATGAAGCAGATGACTGGCTGAAAAATCCCCCAGAGGTGCAAAGCCTTTGCCACGCTCCTCTGAGAACGCAGCCATTGCACGCTTGGTAAAAGCCAATCTGATGTCATATTATGCTTCAAAAACCCAAATGACTTCCAGAAAGCTTGCTTCTGAGAAACAAGCACTGCACAGCTGACAAACCAGTGTGGGTCTATCAAGCCACCTCCTTCAATAAGTCTGCTTGAAGCTGTATTATCTGTTAAAGCTGTAAAACAGTGAAGAAAAGGGAACTTCAAACCAGGGGAATGCTTACAGGAAAAAAGTTCCCACTTCCGTGCTGTTTTACACAAGAGCTGGTTAACAGGTCGGCAGCACAGCAGCAATCCATCACCTCCACTCCAGGGACCGCCCCAAAAGCTCTCCTACAGCTGCTGCACTCAGGCCACCACTGAAGGCAGTGATCTGATTAAAGCTGGAGAACGAGCAAGAAAAATATAAGTGTGGTTTGTGAAAGGAACCTGTTCACATTTCATCAGCATTTTATGCTGAAATAGAAGTGGGATCTGGGAAGTAGAATCTCTCTGATGGGCCAAATATGGCTGGAAGTTTCATGCCCCAGGATCAACTCTGCAGGCTTTTCTTGGTGCTGTTTTAAAAACTTCCTTTGAAATGGAACAAATTGCTCTTAAAAAGTACCACAGACTTGTAGGCAAAACCTTCCCGCAGCTCACAAGTTCTCTTTCCTACTTCAAGCTTGTGAGAAAGGACTGCAGGACTGTACCTTACATACACAGAAACACTACAGTTCTTTGTCCACTTCTATCAGTGGAGCTGCTGCAGGGTCGTGTACAATGAGAAGGATGTGGAGGAGCACAAAGAACATGTTGAATATATTTTTTAAACTTGCAACAAAAGCCTGCTGAAGTTGCTGGAAGAATTACTGCTGCCATGGCAGGCAAACAAACCTGACCTGCTATCATGAAAGTAGGACTAGCAAAGTCCAAGGACGGCAATGCCAGCAGCTGTACGAGTCCAGCACCAACAGCTGACAGCCAGCAAACAACATTCTCACTTAAACTGGGATGTCCATTTTAACCCAAGAGCACATTTCCTTTTCATTACAGAACTGCCAAAGCTTCCAAAGCTTAAATGCATAATTTCTGATCAAATTATGATTTTTATGACCATTGGGACCACTAGTATTTTCACCTGCATCAGCTAGTACTGCAGAAAAACAAAAAGCTGCCAGCACCTGACACCTTTGACAAGGAATGGTAAGGCAGACTATTGGCAGAGCTGCTGGAAAACATTTGCCACAAATGACTCATGTTGATGTCCTCCAGAAGAAGCAGCCCCTGCAAGGCACACCTTAGAAAAGAACACCATGGGCACCAAAAGCATGGCAACCCATTCCATTTTAATCAAACCCCAACAAAAATGCAAGTTCTTGGAACGACCTCTCACCCAAGAGAAGATGGAGAAATGAGATGCCCGTTCCTTGCCTCAATAGTTTCATTAACTTCCACACTGGCTTTGCCACCCCAAGCAAAGAACACCTCTCTCCTATCCTAAAGGGGCCTTTGTTGCATCCACCTCCATCCACTAAAACACCAGAAGAACAAGCCAGCTACAGCCACAAGTCCCCTTCCAACTGCTTTCAGATGCTGCACAGATAAAGACCTGCAAGACAAAGCTCACTCCAAAGTCCTGAACAGCAATAGGATCCCTTTGTCTCTGGGATGCTGGGAAGACAAGCTCCACGAGGAGGAAAATCCTTTTTCTGGCTGAAAAGCAAGCAAAGCAAGAGACAATACGATGGGACTCTTGAACAGGGCGTCTCAAAGAAGAACTTGCCACGTGTCCTACACTGCCTCAGCCAACAATGCCAACTCCCTGGTGGGCCAGGGCAACAGCTGCATCGCTGGGATCACAAGTTTACCTGAATATAGCCTTACTTCCTTCCATCATAATGGATTTAATTTCAAAGACCAAATGTTAGGTAAGATCAGTGCACTTCAAACGTGAACGAACTTATGCTCACATTCCTCTAGAATATATGGGTAACTCCAACTCCCATGATCACACACGGGAAGAATCAGGCCTACAAGGCTGAGCTTTGACTATCTACCCTGATGCTGCTAAGTGCACCAGCAAATTAGTATTGCAATCAGCTCATCACAAAGCTCTCAGCAGCTTCCATACTGTGGGACTTCAGCATCCTCTGGCTCCTGGATTCTTCCCCCCCTCAACTTCGCATTCTCCATTTATTTACAGGGACTTTAAGGAAATACAAGAAAATTTAGCAGGCTTAAGTTTGCCTGGTTTCAGACATTACATTTACCCTGATCATAGGCATTCACAAAAGAAGAATTTTGTATTTTGCAAACTAATGCTTAAATCTTCCCATGGGCAGCAACTGAAGTCTCTGGTTCATTTCAGGGACTGCAGCAGTGTTACCCATCCCTGACCCAGCTGTGAGCTGCTAGTGCCACCTGGAGTATCAGAGCTCCATGTAAATGACACTGAATCTCAGCACTGCGTGCCAACATCTCAGCACACAGCCTGCAAAACAAACCCCAGCAGCAGCAGTCTCTGGGCAATGTCTCTGCAGCAGATCTCACTCCCAACGCCAGGATGAGGAGCTCAGCACAGCCAGCCAAGCTGAGGCAATGAGGAAAAAAAAATAATCAGTAAGAACGAGCAGCAAAAGCCACAAACCAACTACTTTGAAAGCTAATCTCAAGCAAGGTCAATAAGCACTTGAAAAGCCCAGCCCTCAAGGTTCTTCTGAAGCCAGCTCCTGATTTTCAAAACATGCTGAAAAAAAAAAAAAAACACAGATCAAAGCTCATCTTTGTATCAAACAGCAAGTCAAAGCATGGCAGAAGTGGTTACTGAAGTAGTCCAAACTACTTCAGATACAAGCTGTCTCCTAACAGCACTTGCCATACGAGTCAAACTGAGATATTATGGACACCCTGGTGCTAAATTTGAGGAACATTTAAGCAGTAAAGACAACAACCCAACTGCAGCTTGGGGAAGCAGAATGATTTCTTCAGTGCCAGTGGGGTCAGCTTCTGGGTAACATTAATCCAATCCTGTTGCATTACTGCCTACCACAAAACTACAAGTAGAGCTGTATTTAGAAAAGAAAGAAGCAAGGACCTGCTGAGTATGAGCAGATTAAGAAGAAAAATACAGATTTCAGCCCGGCAAGTATTGTTTCATGAATCTACAAGCCACTGCAGAAAGCAAATGAGAACATCAGTTAGGCTGCGCCTACTAATCACCACAGGAAACACTTGCATGAAAGGTTTGCTTCTATTTTCAGTTCATTTCATGACATTTACCTAAACAGATGAAGCAGCAGGAGCACACTGCCAGCCTCTCTCCAGCTATACTTGTTACTGTGGGTATTAAGTGGCTCGTGCTGTATTTGTATTTTATGCAAGACTGAACAGTGATGGGAAGGAAATCAGCATCTTCTCACAGCACAAGACTGGCTATGACTTTCAAAGCAGCAGCTGTTACAGAAGACCTTTATAAAGGTATTTGCAAGCAGCCAGCCACAAGGGCCTCCAGCTACACAATCCAATACTTCAGCTTATATTTAGCAGTGCCTTTGAATTCCAGCTAAAATAAAACCACTGTTTAAGCAATATTCAGTTTACCTACAAGGCAGCTAAATTTGTCTGAAGGTGATTATAAAGAGTGTTATGGGGGGCTGAAGAGATGCTGCTCAAAGGCAAAGTCCTGTTACACAACCACAGTTCAGAAAAACAGCTTTCTTGTGAATCACCACCACTGGTTTTGCTTTCTCTTGGGCTAATTATGCCCTTAGGGATAATGCTCAACAGACACCTATACCCAAAGCAACCAGTTGCTACATAAATTAGGTGATCTGACTGCATCACGCTTGTTATTTTCAAGGGATGGTGCTGAGGGAAGAAGTGAGTTTTATTTTATTTTATTTGCAGCCTCATAAGACTGTCCCAGTGTGTTTTATCTGCAAAAAAAAAAAAAACAGCTATGACATGAAAAGAGAAGAAAGGCAGATTATTTTCTTCACTGCTCAGCAACTGTTAAGGAATGATGTGAGGAGCAGAAGAAAGGAAAGGAGGGATGCATTCACAAAGGTGGTTGCAGCTGAAATTACACAGCAATAGTTTTCAAGTCTCTTTAACTGCAGATTGAGGTAAGTAGACCCCTATGCAGCACAAGCACTGCTGGCACCACCCTGGATGCCAAAAGAAGGCAGAAATACGTACTTACAAAATAGAATTCGCGTGACCAATGAATTCCTGTGCCTGGACTATCAGAGATCTGAGTTACCTGAGAACCTGCTTTTGTGTCAGAAAGTTACAGCAGGAATGCAACCTTCCCTCCAGCACTATATTTTTTTTTTTTTTTTTTAAACAACCACCACTTTTATACAGCACTAAAACACCAACATTTCATCCACCCCCCCCAAAACTGAACCCACAATGCCTGGATCAGAGCAAGGCAGAGTATCAAGTACTCCTGTGATACCCCTGAATAACATAGAGCCAACTGAGCACTGCACCCCAAGAACACTGGGCAGGGCAGCTGCTGGGAACCATGCACCCATACCCAACAGATCAGTGCCACAGCACCTCCACATCACCCTCCCCAGGGCTCTTCCGTCCTGATACAGAAGCAGAGGGAGCTCAGCACACCCTCCAGGCTCTCAGAACAGGACCCTGCAGCAGCCAGATGCTGCCATCCCTGCCCACCATTCCTAGTAGCCGTGCCTCCAACCCTGCCAGCCAGGCTCACCTGTCCTCCCAACAGCCCTGCATGCAGAATGATCTGTCTTCCTGACCAGACAGTGATAACAATGCACAAATGGAGCCCTGCAACACTCCTCAAGCTGTTCTGCAGCACAATCCACCTGCCAACACAACGCAGCCTTTGGCTCCTGCAGCCCTGCACTGGCTCTGGCCAGCAGTGATGCAGCTATGGACATGAAGACGAAGCAAAGTTACTACCACCTTGTGCTGAGTCCCATTTTAAAGAGGCTTTTGCTGGGTTCTGTCATTCAGCCTGCAGATTTAAAGAATGGCTTTTTATTTTATAGTTAAAGAAAATAAAAACTGAGCAAATATGCCAGACACTTGATGAGCAGAACAACACTAGTCACATAAGATGCTCAGGCTGAAGAACAACTGAAATCCTGGGGAGCACACATTGTGATCCCCCCAGCTGCAGCACAGGGGAGCTCACACCGCCCTCCACTGCCCTTCTCCCAACTTTACTCACAGCAGTTCAAAACCCTCAGCCTGCTCCTCTCGTGTTTGCCGTTAAGTTTCAGAAAAATGCATCAGTTCAACGCTGCTCTCTGCAGCTCATTGATCGAATAACTGAGCAGATTGCTGGTTTGACAGATTCTCTTTTCTGGAAAAGAAGTTTCAGTACCAACAAAAGTTTGAAGATTAAATAAAAGCAGATGACTAAAATGCAAGACAGGCAAAGCCGATCTCTAGACGTTCTCTACTAAGCCTACCCTAAGGAAGATAGAGACATGCAGGTCTATCTTCTCCCTCAAGCTGACAGCAGAAGTATTACACCATGTGATCTCAACATGCTGAGATGCATTGCATAGCTTTAGATTCCTCCCCTGGAACAATGAAGCAGACAGCCTTAGTCTAAGCTGTTCCAGTGGGCTCTAACCAGGGGCAGGACTGGCAGTTCCATCAGCAGCTTTCTCCAACAGAAGCAGTCTCACTTGCTCTGTTAGAATTCCTTCAACAAGCCTGGTCCAGCACTCAGGCTCACAGAACCTCACCTTGTTTTGTGAGCGCATCCCTCAGGGCTGCAGTTATCATTTCTCTCCTTTCACCCGCCTCCTTCCTCCCAGAGGTCTCTCCAAGCAAGCTCATTCCAGCATTTCCATCCTCCAGCTCACGTTCTCTCTGTTTGAAGACAAGAAATTACACTTAGATTCAATCTCATTTTATTTTTGGGACAGATCAGGGAAGACAGACATCACTACAGTGATTTAGACAGCCCTAGGAGGTGTGCTCTCTACAAGTCACCCCAAAGGACAGCCAAGAGCACCACCAAAATTTGGTGATCACCAAAGACCCTGCAAGAAAAGGCCGTTCCCCTCTGAGCAGTCAACTCCACACAATGAGATGCTGCATCCCACACATCTAGCTTCCAACAGATGCACCTTTACAAACATGCTTAAACTCCTGGAATTTACTTAAAAGAAAGAAAACAACACAAATACAGGAATATCATGTATTAGCATAAGTTAAAGGAGAAACAAGCAAATTCCAGCACGTAAGAAAAGCGTGAATCTGCACTATGTAAGTGTCACTTCTGAGACTCTATGGGTATTTATTGCTTTATGTCTGCACAAAGAAGCATGAAAGTGGAAATAATTACTTTGATATTTCATGCAACTTGTAATCTGTCAGTTCTTTATGGCTTTTTTGAAGTATCAGAGAAGTTATGGATAAACAACAAAGACCAACAGAAGACATTCTGTTTCTGCAAAACAGACTATTCAACATCCAAGTCTCTTTTGTGCCAAAGTCATCAAGAAGTTCATGCAAACGCTTCCATTTTGAGTTTACACACCATGAGCATCACTACTGAAAGCAGTGCTCTTCGCTTCCCCAGCTGTGTTCTTTGCACAGAGAAAGCACCCCAGCCCCATATCCCCCAGCATCACACCCACACATCCCTTAAACACCTCCAGGGATGAGGACTCCCCCTCTTCCCAGGGCAGCTCTGTTACAACACACAACCACCCTGCCCATGAGGAAACTCTTCCTAACACCGAGTGTAAGCTTTCCTGCTGCAGATCCAGGCTGCCCCCTCCCACCCTCACTTGTAGACCCAACAGATCAACTCTGCAGCCTCCTTTCAGGCAACTGTAGAGAGCAACGAGGTCTTCTCTTAGTCACCTTTTTTCCAGACTCAACAACCCCAAGATGCTTCACCGGTAAAATATTAATATTGCTGGAAAAGCCTCGTGCATAAGGGAGGAAGGAGATAAAATCCTCAGCTATTAATTCTTAAAAAAAGAGCTTCTCCCACATCATTTAATCCAGAACTAGGCACAGCCATCCATTTACAAAGGAAGGGCACTATGTCAGCACGGATTCATTAGCTATCCAAAGAAAAACACCAGGCAGGATTTCTGAACAGATGCATCCTGGCATATCTACTCCCCAATCTCATGCCAGGTTAATTCCCCCAGAAGAACTCAATATGCATAATGTAGCACATCATAATATTAAAAATGCAGCGATTCACTTAACTACAAATAAGATATCCTATCCAAGGCAGCCTTCAGGGAAAGTCCTTCTGAATTAAAGGGCTTGCATTTCTACCTGCCTGTCGTGCTGCTACTGCAACAGCCGAGAAAAAGCACCTAAACATGAAAAAACAAATAAATAAAATTGCCTTGCTGGCAAGGCAGAGACATTTATTTCAATAATCATCTTCCCCTCAGAGAGGCTGTTAATATATATTTTTTTCTCCTTTCATCCTGATGCAAAAGGCTGTAAACAAAACAATCATCTGTTTTCCTCTGATCCACTGTACCTGACTGGCTTCGCCTGGCAGGCGATGGGCTTTGGGCATTCACACCCCAGTGAGTTTTACTTATTTGCTTAATAAACCTTTCATATCTATTATTTAGGGATCGAACACAGAGAACGAAGTTAAATCTGCAGAGCAAACTTCTCTAGTTGCAGTGATTTAGCAGAAAGCCTTGTAGTAAATCTAAAGCAAGTTACTATCTTTCCCTAACAAATCAAGCAAGCAGTGACAAGAGCCAGCTCCTCATGTCCTTGAAACACCTCCCTGCCAGGAAGCTGCAATCCCACCCGCCCCGCACTCACACAGCACCCACAGTCAGAAAGAAGCAGGAATCAATCCCAGTTTCTGGGAGACTCACAGCCCAGCACAGCTCCTGCAGCTCCGTGTGCCCAGCAGGATACGCTGCCCTACACAGGAGGTGTCTGAGCTCTCACTGCATTTCCCATTTATTACATCAAATGCTTTTCCAACTAGGATTGTGGGCAGGAAGAAAGCAGGAAAAAAAAGGCAAATTGCATCAGATCCATGCAAAAGAAGCCTTCCCTAGGCTAAATTATGTTAGCGTTTTTAGCCTCATTGCTCTATTCATGTGCTGAAAACAACACATTCCCTGAAAAGCTTTTACTCCAGGAAGGAAAACAGCCAGAATACAGCTCAATTCTGACTGAGCTGTTTCCTACTTAACCTCCCTCTGGACAAACACAAGGCAACCCCAGCCTTGTCCTGACTTACAGCATCATCCATCAGGGCCTCCTCCATCTCCTAACAAGTGAAAGGTGCACACGTTAAGAAAGCAGTAATACATCAGGGGCTGCAGACAAGAGAAAAGGAGCTGAAGCTAAGGGAAAATTGTTGGCAAGGTTATCAAGAAGAGACAGCCTGGCAATAGTAGTACGACTTGCTGAGGGGAATGGTTAAATGAAGTATTAAAGTTCCATGAATGAAGAGCTAAAATCCCAAGCAAGCAGTGCTCTGGTGACAAGGGAGCAGTTAGAACACAGATTTCCCTTCGCACAGTCCCAGCCATTGGGGCATTACAGTTTTCCTGGCAGAGCAGCATTCCCACAAGACCAAAGCCTGAGCAGAAGGACCAGCACAGGGTGTCAGCTTGCATTAAAGCTCTGAAAAGGGACAGAGCAGGACTGCTACTCCAGATTCAAAGTGCTGACTGTCCTAACCAACGAACTGAACTGCAGTTTGCTCAGCCTGTGGACTAAGGATATCTAGCTGCTGTCAGTCATCACTAAAAACTGCCCTGAGCATTCCTCAGAGAGCACAGAAATGGGCATTAGGAACTCAGATTGAGTCATCAGTGAACCAGCAAGCACCCTAACAGCAAGGAAACCTCATTAAGAATAGCTGCTGGTGTCTATATAATCACAGGTTACATACCCACTGCATACATCACTGCCCAGTTAGGCATGCGAGGCTGAATTGAAGCAAAAAAGAAAAAAAAAAAAAACAGACAGATGGAAAGCAGAACCTGACAGCTAAGGAGCAGGGAGCTCGGCAATTCATTCCTCTGCCCTGGATTGAAACAGGAGGAGGCATGATCAAAACCTCCATGAATCTTCAGTGAAGAACCAAAAAGAAGTTTCCATCCGTATCTGCCTTACTGTGTAAGGCCACAAGGTTCCCTGCACCATTCCAAGCAGCAAGTACTGCTCAAAATGCTATTTAACAGCCCTGCAGCTCAGATCCCATCGATGCCCTTTTTTTTTTCTTGCAGGTTCAGCATCAGAATCTTCAGGGATAACACTTCCCAGAACGTATGCACATACGCAGGGCTGTGGAAGAGATTTTGGGATTGCTTCACAGAGCTGTAATATCACTGCTGTGCTGTAGGGAAGGCTTTTTACAAGCTGTAGTTAAACCAAGCCTCCATTTCACACGCTGCTTTATGGTTCTGTCGACATTTGTTGGAGTTGGGAAGCTTCATTGGACACACCATAAAAACGACCGATTTTCAAAGCAAACAAGAATCAAAACTAAAAGAAATGTGTCTGTTTCCTCCCAAAAGCGCGTAGCTTATATTTGAAAACTGGGACATATATTCACATTTTTATTCCATATTTTTATTCCTTTCTCCTGCACTACAAGAATCAAAACTAAAACCTAGGAAACAAGATTTAACAAGCATCCTGAAACACCCAGCAAGATTTTCAGCATTTTGCTTCCTCACGCAGAGCAGAGTACATATTTTCATAGAATCACCGAGGTTGGAAAAGACTTCCAAGACCATCCAGTCCAACCTTCATCCACCACCAATACTTCCCCACTACACCACGTCCCTTAGCATCTTGGCATAGTTTGGATACTTCTTTTTAATGGCTCTGCAGAAGACTTTTCTGTTCCATTTCTTTCTTTTCCTTCCAGCTCAGGACTAAGGAAAGGACATCTCATGTCATCACCCATCTTTCAGGCAGCCAAGACACCACACACTTCCCTTAGCGAGAGCCCCAGACACAGCTCCCATCCTGGATTGCTCTTCTCAGGAAGGCCTCTTGGCCTAAGACTGCAGGAAGGTTTGTGATCAGCTAACTGGAGAGCAGCAAGGAAAGGTCCTATTTGCACTTCTGCTACTTCCCCAAATAGGAGCCATATGCAAGTCTTTCAAGCACTCAATTAACAGCTCTGGCCTATAATCTGTTCAGTGATTTGCATTAGCCAGCTTTTCAGGACTGTTAGATCAAAGGACACAAGATTATTATAATTATAATCCTATAAAGAATACCTGATTAAACCCAAAAGGAAATTGCTTGGTTTCCACTATAATTAATCTTCGTTAACTGTAAGAAAATATAAACCTGACACCCAAAGCCCTGCTCAGCATCCTTCAAAACCAAAGCCCACTTTTCAAACTTAGGAGTGGTTTGGCACTCCATCCCCAATCACAGTGACAGCTGGGTTAAAACAACCCTCTGCACACAGATATTGGCCAACACAAACACAGACCCAGGCTGCCCGCTCTGGAGCCATAGCAGCTCTGCCCATGCCAGTTGCCAAAAGGATGAAGCTTTCCCCATGCAAAAGCTTAGCCATGCTATTAGCAGAAAAATCCACAGCATGGTTTGGCACACACCTAAGCAGTCTGTGCACACTGTGAGGTTCATCTAGCAGAACACAGATGCGCACACAGGACCTAACACCTTACTCAAACACGTTCCTTTGGCAGCAGATGCTGTGCTCCAAGCCATCACTGTGCTCATCACTCCTTGGATACAGCAGCAACATCAACAAGCCACCTCCTCCTCGCTTCTCCCAGTAATTACCATCAGCAAATAATCATTCTGTGCATTGATTTGTGGGCTTCAGCTGTGTTATTTGTCTGGCAAGAACCTCAGAAAATGCACGAGAA